TACAGTGGTGGAAATGGAGGCTCAGAACAGTTATGGGGCTTATCTAAGGTTACACAGTTAGAAAGTGGTTGACCTGGGCTGGGGCCCAGGGCAATCTGAATCCATGTGACATGTACTTTCTGTTACTACGCACCTGCCTGTTATTAATCCAGAATTCTAGAGCAAGATATTTAAACAGATGGCCAGAAAGCACTTGGAAAAGAAGGTGATAACTCTAGATGCCAGCCCAAAGCAACAGGGCAAACTGAACCTATCATTCTCTTTGATAGGGCTTCTGGCCTGGTAGATCCAGGCAAGTTTGTAGACACCCCAAGTGTCTCAAATTCAGTCTTGTTTTGAAAAAAAATGAATGAAAATATGTGCCACAGTTAGGAGAATTATTATATTATGTGGTGAACACAGGAGGCAGAAGGGTGTTATCAGTGGATAGCTCTAAAACTGGAGGGTGGTGACTTGCCAGTTCACTGTTTTTGGCCTGGTCCCATTCACATATTTGTTCACTCACTCACCACTCAGTCACTCACTCACTCACTCATTCGCAAGCATTAATTGAATGGCAATGATATACTAGGCCTTACGTCAAGAACAGGGAATTTGGGACGGACACCAAAATGTGCCGTGAAGAATCTTCAGAAGCGTTTCTTGCAACCAGCTGCTGGGAGTGCTATTGGCAGCCTTCAAGGGTCAGCACCTCAGGATCTTCCTCAGCTCCAGAGAGCTAGCTAAACCAACGGCATGCCCCTTCCTAGTGTGGCCCACATCAGAGCACAGATGGATTGAGCAGTATCAAGGTTATTCATCTTAGCCAAACTCACATGAACTCTGAAGGCTCCTAGCAGTTCCAGAGTTTCCCTGGGATCAGCTCAGCTTCTGCCTCTGCCCACCCTACACCACAGGTATTAGGTCCAAGGTCACTCCTTACTAAACTCCCTACACACTAAACTTGGAGTTCGAGTCATTCTGCTTCATGGAAAACCAGTAAAAGAAAGGGCCTCGCCCTTTGTTTATCCTTTAAAGAGTACAACTATAATCAAGGACAAAATTACATATTTGGTTTGATAAAAGGAAGACTTGTCTTTCAACAGTGGAACAGCCTGCCTTCAGAAAGCAGTGAACCTGTGTAAGACAGAGGGACATTACTGTTGTTGAAGTGTTTCTGTTCACTACTGTTTTATTGGAGTGTTGGAGTGTTTCTGATAGCTAACACACAGCACAGTATCACTAGCGTTTATAAATTAGTGATTAGAAAATTATTATATAACATTCTGGATTCAATAGGTACTGGGAATAATTTTAAACATATATGGGAAGAAATCCCATTTCCTAATGAACTCCCTGAAATAATCTGAGATTACTTAATTCTAACCTTAAGATGCAGATACAATATAATTCAGAACATAGTGGCAGAAATTGTCAATGTCCACCAATAGCCATTTGTTCCTTTGTCTTTTAGTAATAAAATCCCAAATGTTAGCGGCCTACATGTCTATCTAGAAAAACAGTACATTTCCCAGATTCCCTTGCAGCAAATGAGTCCATGTGATTAAATTATGGTAGTGGGATCTGGGAGGTAATGACGCATGCATTTTTGTTTTCTTGCTTTTTATTTCTTTTTTGCCCATCCCAAGGCTGGTACACAGCAGTACTTGCTGGTGGTAAGGCAGCAATGGCACTCTAGGAAAGGGGAAGCAATCATGCAAAAAATTCCTGGGTTTTTGAGTGACCTCTGGAGTAAGACTCTTTTATCTCTGGACTGCCTATCAGCTTTGACTTTTATGTGGGAGAGAAAGAAACCACTTATTTTGTTTAAGCCATTATGATTTCGATCTCTGATAAAACAGCTTAACAAATATTCTAATGTATACACATGCCAAATCAACATCTCAGACCTGGGCGATGTTCATTTTTGCCCTATAAGCATGGTATCTTATCAGAAGACTGGAATATGATAAGAATAAGAATTAATATCCTTTACCTGTGAGTTAAATCCTGCATTTTCTTTCTTCCTTTCTGATGTTCTGCCTTGTCCTGGCCCACATTATATTTTATTTCTATATAAAAATCAAGGGCTAAGGCAAGATCTGGACTGAAATTATGTTTGTCTAACTATACAGTAGGATTGTCGCCAGCAATTAAAATCTTGATTTGTCTTGCTGCTGACATTGTCTTGAGAAGTAATTTTAAGATAAGTTTATATGATATATACACATAGATATATGATTCATACATTCCTCCCATTTTCTTTCATTCATTAATTTGACTGCAAACTATTCAAGTAAAATAAGACCAAGTCATCCTAAAGGAGATCAAATTGGTTATAGTTCATGGATATGTATTAATAAATAAATGAAAAGAATAAGTGAGGCACAACTTTATCTTAAAAACTTCAAAAGAAACAGAAATCTGAAGTCCAATGTAAACCGTTTCTATGAATAGTTTATTATTTGAAATTTGCCCTATTTCTATTAATATAATCATTGATGCTTTTGCAGTATAAGGGCCACAGCTTAAATGAAATATTCTGATATATGATTAACTGATGTAGACCCTATTTCTTTTTTAGTACCTAAAGAAAGTACAGATGTATAATTCTCTGCTCTTTTAGCTGGAAACATGTAAAGTCCAAAATCATTGCCATTTTTATCATGGCACCAGCTGAATTTCAGGTTACTTATCTGGTTCTGAAGATGAAGTGCTGCATATGTCATTTATAAAATATATGTACATGCCTGGGCATGGTGGTTCATGCCTGTAATCCCAGCACTTTGGGAGGCTGAGGCAGGAGAATCTCGTGAACCCGGGAGGTTGAGGTTGCAGTGAGCTAAGATCACGCCATTGCACTCTAGCCTGAGCAAGAGAGCCAGACTCCATCTTAAAAAAAATCTATCTATCTATCTATCTATCTATCTATCTATCTGGACATGGGTTATTTAGGAGAGGGCAAGGATTCTAAAACCAAGAATATGTTTTCAGTTACAATTCTGTCTTTAGACTTACATATATCCAGAAACATGCTCACCTTTTCCTAAAGTAATAATAACAGCTCATTCTTCTACACCAAATATCAAAAATAATAACTATTTAGGAATCACAGAAATCAAAGATCCAGATTCTCACATAACAGGGAACAAGCTGGAGGTGTGGGTGGTGGGAGGGGGAGCTGAGTGTCCCCTGATCTGTGGCATTGCTGGTTTGCAGAAACAGAATAACTCTGAGGTCACTGTCTCTGGGTGTTTCCACCTAGTTTTCACTCTGCTTCCCTTAACACTTTTTCACCAGAATCTTAACCACATCATGTCAATATTTTACTTTAAAAACAGATGTTGAGAAGAGCTCAGAGTAAACCACCACTTTTTGCTGCATCTCAGCAACATATCTGGTTGGAGGAATAGCTACCAGATAACTTAGGCCTACATATTCTACTCAACAGAGGGAATCTCTTCTTTTCTGGATTCAGCTAGATTCCAGCAAACATCTACTATGTTTCTGGGACTGTTCCAGCACATTTGCTTTCACATAAATTTGTTCACTTAATTCTCTGAACTTGCCTTCTTTTACTTACCCCAGGTAGCTTCCAAAGGGCCAGTTTATTACACAGAGAATAAACTCAGAGAAGTGAGTAAAATAAACTGCACAGACATGGCCATAAACTGGTTTTAGACATTTAAGGAGATTTTTAGTTAAAAAGATTGTTCAGTAAGTAAAAAATAGTTTGAAAGATGCCACTGAAAAGTGAAAGAGTATGCATTTAAAATACCGCCATTACTCAAACTCACAGGTCGATATGTAACTTTAAAATCTGCCCCTTCCACTGCAGAAGGGAAAGAAAAGCTAATATATTTCATGCTTCTCTTTTCAAGAAGATATCTTAAAGTAGCAGGGGAGCATATGATTAAAAATTACCTTAAATATTATTTGCTGTGGTTAGTTACTCTTAGCAATCATTTTGGTTGTCACCAACAGTAGCGATCAAGTCCATTAAAAGCAGTAAACACTAAAGAAAGCATCATTATAGACATTTTTCATCCCAGAGAGCCAAAGGTTTATTCTCAAAAGATAGATGATTACAAGTCATTTAGAAAGGTTAGCTGAGGTGTTTCCTGAAGCATCTCAAAAATGGTTCAGCAATTATTAACTACCCTGTTCGGGGGAATGCTATACGGAGATCACATCTCTCTAAAGAAGATGCCAAGAACATATTAGCTGCCAGTTTGAGAGCCTTCATCTTTGCTCAGAACTATTTTTAGAAAACAATGGTGGCATTTATCAAACACAGAGAAAGGACTGTAGATGCTGGAACTCAGAATTCAGCAACTAAAGAAATTTAGTAGCTGGGAATTGGGGAATGGAAGTGCAAATATTGCAAAAATACCTCTTTTTTCCCCCCTGAAGCCTTAGTTTGTCTATAGAAAAACACCTATTTGAATAATATAAACCATACCACACTCATATCTGAGGTACTTTAAAGGTGAGATGATTTAAGTCAACTTGATAATACAATAAAATGAAGGATATGAGTTTCAGTATCGATTTAGACTATGATTTTGATTAATTTTTGGTTTTAGAGCACAGCAATGAAAAAAAGAACAATTTCCTTCCATGTATTTTCATGTGGTGTATCATAAAAAAGAAAATGAAGACGTGTTTTTGAAAATTACTCTCAGCAAATTTGTGAACTTCATGTTATTTCTAGTTGCTAAGTCTGCATCAGAGATAAGTCTGGATAAACTTTTTTTTCTTTATAAAATTCTTGCAGTAAAGTAAGTCAGAAGAAAATGTGGATCCACACCTTTTCACCATTTTGAAAAGCACAAGACTGCAGTATAAAATAAGCACAACTTTCTCCAGCTAGAATGAGCTTCTTAAGGTTTATAGAATTCATGAAATGGTGACCATATACAGGCTTCAGTTTAAGGAGTTTCTGATCGACTTACTGCATATAGGCAGAACATAGCTCTGCTCAGCCTCACCAAAGCTTCATGCACACACAAAACACTCACCACTGGTGATGGGGAAAGTGCGATGTTGCCTATTGATGCCTTCAATTCATCTACAGTTGCAGCATTCTTAAGAATGTCTTTAGATTGCAATGGTTTAATCTTGATATTAAATTTCTTATGTGATTCTTCTTCCTCTTCCGATTCACTCGAAGAATAAAAGTGCTTTCCTTTGGTAGGTAGAACACAGTTAAAGATACATAACTCTTTCTTCTACTGGGAGACAATGACTCTAAGGCAAGAGTGGTTGCACATAGAGACAGTAAAAGTGTCCTTAGAAAATCAAAGCAAAGCATAGAAAAATAAAAGAGGAAAGGGTTAGAATTTATTGACCCTTCCTCAGAACATGATCAAGGATGGTGATTTTCAAGAAGCAATGGTTATAATATGCTACATTTTTGCTGCAGTTGGCCATTGGTTGTGTCACACTCAGCACACACAGACAGGGACATGTAAGCTTACTCAGCTATAGAGAGAGGAAGGCTGCTTTATGGGTGATCCGCGATGAGTTTTAAATGCATCGGTGTGACATGCTTTGCCCAGAGATGAATTGTAGGGAGAAGACAGAGCTATTTTCTAGTCACTATAAATGACAGTCATATCAGGGTTTAGCAGACAGCCCAATACCCACCATTTCAACAACTGTTTTTTAGCACATTTTTCTCTTTCTCCTCTCTCTTTTCTATGAATAGATTAAGGCAAAATGTCTGCTTGCTAGCGCTCCGGCTGTTCTCAGTGCTGTTTATTCATCTCTAATATTAGGAATAGCAGGACTTGTGAAGATTAGGTTATTTCATTACCTGTGTGAAATCTGAATTTATCTTATTGTTTCCTGAGAGTAAATGAAAATTAAAATAAAAAAAATAAAGAAAGGATATAGCCGGGTTCCTCAGGTCTGATGCTGTAGCCTTCTTCATCCAGCTCAGGTGAGTTCTATAAAACACGAGTGCACATTAAGTAATTATTATCCTAACAGTGATCAAGAAATTATTTTTTTTCTAGAGTCTTCTATTTAAGGATATAGAAAAGTCTTTTCTTTTAGGAGATGAAGCTTTTAACTTCTGAAATGAATTCTGAGCAATATGTTTAGATATTTACTCAAGGATACTTGGAGAGTCCTCCTACTGGGAAAATAAATGAGGAGGAATCAACTGTCAATGAAAGAAAGCATTCAAGCGGAATTTAACATGCATTTCCTGTAAGCCAAGGACTGTGCTAAGCAACATGGGTGTAAGAAATGGAAATTATCTGTCCTCAGGGAAATTGAAATGTATTTTGGTAGGGAAAAATTAAAAAGAAAATACAAAACACAAAACACCTGTGTTAGACGGGGTTCAAAGAAAAGGAAACTAGTGAGGTTTAAAAAAATCAGAGCGGTCTTTACGCATCTTTCAGGACAGACAGGAGAAGGCAGAGTGGGAGCTCCTTCTAGGTGGTAAGGAAGAGCCTATTCAGACACACCAAAATGGGAATGGACCCTGGGTGACTCAGATGGGGAGACAGATGGGGTAATAGCAACGATAACGTGGCCAGAGAAGAAGCTGCACAGTGGGAGATGGGGAAATGAGACGATGAGAGCCAATATGCCAGGGGAAGAGTTTGGACTTGAGGTAGCTACTGCAACTTCTCAGCTAGGGTGGGACATGCTGAAAGCAAAATCTTAAGGAGTTTTGGAAGTATGTTCCAGGATAGCCTTGGGGCAGAAGAACTGGAGAAAGAAAAACGAATTCAAAATATGTGCATCAATTCAGGCAAGAGGTACTAAGAATATGGATAAAGTTATTGGTGGGTTGGGATGAACTGAGGACATTTGAAAGGATGGATTATTGATTCTTGGTAACAGATCAGTCATAGGAAAAAGGCAGAGGGAAGGTTCAAGAGGACTCCAATATTTCTACACTCAAATTGTGGGAGAGTGCTGGTACTCCCAGTTGAGCTAATTTTGAACAGCAGACAACTAATATTTTTTGGAAAGAAGCAGAAAACATAAAAAGGCAGTTTGCATTGTTGGGATTAGAATGATCAGATTTGGATCCTTATTACATGGAAAGCATTGTGACCCATACTTTACCTCACTGAACCACTTAAAAAGCATATGTGAAAAGAATTATCCCATTTATCAAGAAAGAAAATAAGAGAAATCAGATGCCATTTCCCAAGGAAACATACCTAGCAAATGTCAGACCTAGGTTCTGACCCCTGGCGTTTCAGACTATACCCTATGTCCTAGAGGGGAGGAAAATGAAGCATTTGTAGGTGGCCCTGTTGAAGCTGAGGTGACAGGTCTGCCAGTGAGAGAAGGCAGAATTGGACAGTTACTTTTGGGAGTTAATAAAGCAGCAAAAATGCCGTAACCATGGAGAGAAAAGTGGGTCTATATACCATGGAAAAAGGCCCATTAAAAATTGATTTTTATTGTCTATATTTAAGGTGTACAACATGTTTTGATATGCATATGCACAGTAAAATGACTACTACAGTTAAATTTACATTTCTGTTACGTTCCATAGGAACCCTTCTAATGTGTGTGTGTATGATTAGAGCACCTAAACTCTTAGCAAATTTTTACTACATTAGATATCTAGACTTCATCTCACCTCACTGCAAATTTGTACTCTTTGACTTACTTCTTTCATTTCTTCTTTCTTTCTGCCCCTGCTGACTACTGTTCTAGTCTGTTTCTATGTATTTGACTTCTTTTCTTTGTTTTTTGAGACAGTCTTGCTGTGTTGCCCAGGCTGGAGTACAGTGGTGCAATCTTAGCTCACTGCAACCTCTGCCTTCTGGGTTCAAGCAATTCTCCTGCTTCAGCCTCCCATATTTGACTTTTTTTTTTTTTTAAAGATTCTGCATATAAGCAAGATCATACAGTATTTTTATTTCTATATCTGAAACTCACCATTTTTTTGAGCACTTATTGTGTTATTCCTCTTGTGCTCCTTCTTTGGTTCTCAGAGTTGTTTTTTGTTTTTTACAAGTGTATCAAGGTTACTTGCCTGCTAAAATGTGTCCCTGGCTTCTTACTGCATTTAGAATAAAAGCCAGGTGACTCTGTGTAGCCAATAAGGCCCAGCAGGGCTGGCTCCTGCCCCTCTCTCTAGCCTCATGTCTGTAATTACCTTCCATTGATCCCCTCTCAGCTGCATGTTCTCTCCTTCTCAATGTTTGTGATTTGGGTGCTGCAAGCGCTGTCTCATTTCAGTGACCTCATCGATGCTGTTCCCTCTGCCTGCAATTCTCTTCCCCCAAATGTTCAGCCAGTTAGCCTCTATGTATATGTTAGGCCTTTGCTCAGAAGTCACATCCTCCTTGAGTCCTTTCCTGCCAAAATCAAGTTGACTTGCCTCTATTCTCAAAGCTTCTAAGAAATAGAACCAGGGCTGAAACACCCTGAGTTAATATTAGAAAAACATTTTTTGAATAAATACTACAGGCTAGCAGGTTACTAAAATGTTCTGCAAACAATTAGCTCATTGAATCCTTGCAACAATAACACAAGGTAACTATTGACTTCTTTTTTGCTACCCAGTAAATAACAATTTGAAGGCCACACACAGCTGATATCTATAGGGCTAGATCAGGGGTGTCCACAAGAAAAGAAAAGCAAACACCACATGTTCTCATTCATAAGTGGGTGTTGAACAATGAAAACACACGGACACAGAGAAGGAAACATCACACACCAGGGCCTGGAGGGTGAGGGGCTAGAGAAGGAATGACAGAGGGTTGGGGAATTGGGGAGGGATAGCATTAGGAGAAATACCTAATGTAGATGACTGGGCGATGGATGCAGCAAAGCACCACCATGGCACGTGTATACCTATTTAACAAACCTGCACGACCTGCACATGTACTCCAGATCTTAAAGTATAATAGATAAATTGTAAAAAAAAGATCGGGGTGTCCAATCTTTTGGCTTCCCTGGGCCACATTGGAAGAAGAAGAATTGTCTTGGGCCACACATAAAATATGCTAACATTGACAATAGCAGATTAGCTAAAATAAATAAAAAAATAAATAAATTGCAAGAAACCTCATAATATTAGACAAGCTTGGGCTAGAGCTTGAACCCAGTTCTGACAGACTTCATTTCCCTTTGCCCCATCCTAAGCATGCCAGACACTTCCTAATGACATGGAGAGCATTTTATTTATTTCTAAGTCCTCTTATAAGAATGTCTCAACTCATTTTTAAAGTGTAAAATACTTGATACAGAGAAACAATCTTCTGATACTCACATATCTTTCCCAATCAATTTCCGCGTAAAATCCATTTGGTGCCCCATTGCTTTTCTTCTGTAATAAATTTGAAAATGAATTTAGAAGGAAAATATTTGAATAAAAACAAAGGAACAAAGAACATTGAACTCTTATCTGCATTTAGCAAGAGCTACCAAAATCCAGCACTGGAAAGACATATTAGAGCAGCTTATTAAGGAGCCACAATGGTGGAATGGAATGGTAAATCTAGCTGCCGTGACACTGAAGAAAAGGGCCTACGTGCTTATTTCACAAAAGATTATAGGATACCAAGGTATAGGGATGTTAATGATGGACTGTTCAAATTTTATTCAGTTACTGAAGAATTAGCAGCACCTTCATTATAATTTAATCCTCTAAACCTACAGGGGATATAACCATGTGTATATGTATATTAAATGGAAACATTTTTACTTCCATGCTGCCATTATTATACAATTAGTTCTAACATATCCAAAGAATACTCATCCAAGTCATTAACTAATCTTTTAGCATTTTTAGCACTGACTCAATTTTTCTGTAACTACCGGCTTGATAAAATATAGAGGAAGTCAGCTCCAAATCAGTTCATTCAGCTCCTAGTTATTAAAAATAATCTTTTTTAAAATGGTTTTTATTATCAAATTTTTAAAATAGAATTTGAGGATTAATGGTGGATTTTTGTCATCTGTGCGATCTGTGCCTTCATGAGCACACATCATTGCAAGCTGACTGGATGTCAGCACTACTCTCTTCCGATTATCTTAAAGTTTTCTTTGTCCCTTAGTACAACCATGACACATGGTCACAAGCACTTGAGTAAGGATGTGGCATCACCCAAATAGAAATTACCAAGATTTTCTATGTCTTGTGAGCAAATGACAAAAACACAAATCAGGTTGGTAATGGAGGGTCCATCCAACGACATTCTTATATTTAGCACATGGAGCAAGGGCATGTCACTAGGCATAGCAGATCTCAGAACAGCACACATCAAATGGTGATGCATGAGGCTTGAACACAGGACCTCTAATTTTGCAATCACAAATAAAGGTCACTTGAACTGCAATGTAAACAACTAATACCCAATTTGACAAATAGGTGGAGAAATAAGCTTTTTATGTGTGCACATAGGATCACTAGATAACCCAGAATAACCATCATCATTGAGTAACAGTGAATGTTGACTGGGCATTCTATGGACTAGCAGGGCTCTGGCAAAGGTAAATAGTGCACAAGAAATAGCTAATGTGTTCATCCCCTCTGTCTTCCAATATACTACCACTGCACTCGAATTTACAAATATAAGAACTGGCCCATGCCTCCATAGATCAGCATCCAGGGACATAAGGTCTGTGATCATCTCCCTCTTTGTCCCACTCCTGACATAGATTATTTGTATGCAGGCTGCGTCATTTTAATCTTCCCATAGAATTGCCTTTGTTGAATTAGTGCTTCAGTGATATTTTTTCTGCTTTGAACAAAGGTCTTTGTAAAACCTTTGTTCAAAGGTCATATCAACTCTGCCTACGTATACCTTATGAAGCCACTATTGAAAACTGGTCCATTATATAATTTGCCACTTAAAAATTCTTATTTCACTTGAGAATAAACAGGGCTCCTATTTTCTGTTTCTCATGTTTACTTTCTCTTTAAATTCCCTCTTCACCAGCCTGTTTGTTTGTGACTTCTTTGCAAAATGCTCCACTTTTTCTTAGAAAGCATGTATAATAAACATGTTCAATACAGACATTTGATTTACAATGACAGGAGATCAAAAGAACTAAGTAGCTTCCAGAGAAGTAAACTCATGAATTTTATGATCTAGGATTTTTACCCAAAACCAGAGATTAGATAAATTATTGAGTTCAACATTTTCAAAGTTCTACAGTTTGTGTCCATGATAATCTCATCTTCATAACTAAAGCCCTTAAAAACCAAGATGGTTTATATGTTCAGCTAAACAGTTTATATATATATATATATATATATACACATATATTTGTGTGTGTATGTATGTGTGTATATATATGTGTGTGCACATATACATATATACATGCACATATATATACACATATATGTACATATACACATACACACATATATACATACATACACACATACACTCACGTATATAAATATACATATACTATACATATACACACACAGATATATATGTATATTTGTTTTTCTTTCCTTCTTGACAACATATATCTAACATTGTAGAAAAAAAGGTTTCTAAATTTAAAGATCTAGGCAGAGAGAAAATTTCCCAGTTTCCATGAAAACCAAGGAAGATTGAGATAAAGGGAAAGCAAAACCTGTAGAAACTTTTTCTTCAAACATAGGGACCCTTTAAAAACAAATACTAAAAACAAACAACAAATCATAACAATACGTTATTTTTAGCAGATATTCAACACACACACACACGCATGGCTTTATTAGAGGAATTTGGTCTCAGTTATGCAAGTGGATTCTTACAAATATCTTTGGTTTCACAAGTGAAAATTATATCAAGTTAAAGCTAGGCCAGAGCCTGGATGGAATTCTTCTGGCCCAAACCCAAGAAAAAAACAATTCTTTGTTGGTTTAACCATTGAGAAAGGTGCAACTATAGTACTAGTAATAGTGAAGATAATGACTCTATTGACTTTCAAATGGAAAACTTTGAAGAAGAAGCAAGGAAGAATATCAGTTAAGTGGGGAAACACCACTTAAAAACCAGGCTTAATACTGAAAGACATATATTTGCCAATATATAAACAATGATTTTTCTCTTGGAATTGTAGTTACATAGATTTTTACCTCTTCCTTTTTTTTTCGTATTTTTTAAAATTAAAAAATCCTACCCTTAGAATAAGTAACTTTTATAACTTGAATATGATTATTAAAGATAATTGAGGCTCACAGTGATGCTAATCATGTCTTCATAGGTATTTTACTTGGTTAGGCATATTATCTGTTCTTAGATAATATGATGGGCTTAGTAGGTAAATATAGTGACAATTATGTTCAATTATACATTCATCAAAGTTCTCAAATTCCATTGGGAATGCCTCTGGTTTTCAAGGTCAGCTCATGGCCGGGTAATGATCCTTGGGTAAAGCGTGTTAAAGATATATGATGTACTCCCTAAATATTATCTTTTCTCCACTGAGGTAGACTTGACTCACTTTGTAAATAATTCTATAGGACAGCACTGCCCAATAGAAATAGCTGTGAAGATGGCAATGTCCTACCTGTGTGCTATCCAAGATGGTAGCCACTAGCCGCAAGTGGCTATGGAGTACTCACAGCAACTGAGGAACTGAATTTTAATAACTAGTCACATGTGACTACCATAATGTACAACACTGCTATAGCTACTTCAGAGTTTGGGCTAGGATCAGCATCCCTGATTCAATGTCCTTTGGTTAAATACACTGGTTCCTACAAATCATGCCAAATTCCTGATGTTATTGAGATAGTACTTATCCTAAGAAATGACTACTCAATTTATGTGGTGATATTTTTATTATAGCCAAAGGCTTCTTTATAGACAGTAGATTCTTTTTAAAGTTTGAATTCCTGTCCTTTGTCAGTGAAACAGGAAACACACATCTTTTATGTATGATTACTCTTTAAAAGTACATTCAGATGTCAGTCCATGAAGTCTATATGGTTAATTTAAAAATTGGCCCCAGATATTCAAGAAATAATCTGGAAATACCTAAGAGTTTTCTTAAATGGAGCAAATGGAAACTACTGTGTTTTCCAAGTTTTAAACTGGGATTTTACTCACTGTTTTCTACAACCTTTTGGAAATTTTAAACTAAAATCTGTTTCCTTACCGAAACTTTTTTTCCTCCTTCACGCGCACATTCTGCTTTGCTATTGTAGGGTGGTTCGTGTGGGCTGGGCTGCTGGAATTGATTGTTTTCATGTAGAAAAAAGTGGTTAAAAGATCTGCTTGTTCTTCAAGACACATATAAAGAATTACATGGAGTCAGCAAACATACCATAGAAGAAACCATCTCTAGGCCAAATCGTACGGCCTACCAATCTTGGCAGGGTTCCTTAAGCAAAGAGTGGACTTTGGGGCCCATAATGAGGCTCTATTCAGCAGGCCAGCTTGGTTAGGCCACGAGAAGACGGGAGGAGGAGGAAGATGTGTCCCAGGCTCTAGGAACCAGGTGGATCTATTTCTCATATAGCCAGCATTTAATTTACACATAGAGAACAGACACGAGGACACACAAGAAGAGACTGAATAAAAATGGTTGTATTTCTAATCTAAGTAAGAAAAGTTCAGTTTAGCTTCACCATATTTTCCCTTGGGTCAAAGCCTTCCTGCAGTCGCCAATACACACAGCACACACAGCTGACAGCTCCCAACTGTGCCCTTTCCTGCACACCTGTTCAGGATGATCAAAACTGACCTTCTCACAGCAAAGGCTGTGACCCTGATGCTCCCAGTCTATGTGTGGAAGGAAACTGGAACTGCTTAGAAAAAAGTTAGTTTGCCCTGCACAAATTAGAGTTTCTGTCTGGGATAGGATGCATTGTCACACACAGCTGCCTGAAGTCTCAGACACCATGACAGACAGCTCTGCCAGTGATGGGTACATTCAGCCAGTGGGGAGGAAGGCCCACCTTCATGCATGCAGCCCTGCCGCGAAGCCTCTATAGGTTAAACCTCAGAAGCATTGCCACCAGAGATGAGCTTCGTTAGATTTTGAGAAACTGGCATTAAATTAACAACAGTACATTAAAGCTTGTGTTTACCAAGTAGTTTATAAGCACTAGGTAGGTGCACCACCACCTGTAGTTTGTGGAACTACATTAATGAAAACATACGTTTCAATACCTGACATTCAAAACGCAATCATTTGAAAGCTGTATCAGCCAAAGCGGACTGAGTCTATAGAAATAAGGCCTGAAGAAATCTGAGTTTGAAAGAAAATTAGGTTGATATCTCTAAGAACTGAAAGCAAACAGAAACTCAGATAGCACTGGTTTCCAAAATTCAGTGACCAGGGTAAACTTGGAAAACTTGGAGAACATTTCTATAAAACCAGCAGCTGGTAATTTCCCATTACCTATAAAGCCTGTTTCTGAGGAAGTGCATTTATTTTGAACGTAGTCTTTTCCAGAACAGGGCTGTGTTATTTCCTAAGAATTCAAAATTACCTAATTTATCTTTCCTAATAATCATGATCAGTGATATTTATGGCATTTCTAATTAAGTAACAAAGTGGGCAAAATTGCTAATAAAGAAATTCATATGCCTTGGAATGGTGAAGGGCTCGGGGAACTCAGGCATGAATCCCTGGCCTGGGGGGCCTGCATCCCCGGAATAACTGCTGGGTTTATTAATGCAGCCCATACTCATCGTTGCCTGCCATGTGCCAGCTGCTGTACCAGGTGCTGAGGTGCACATTCTACCAGAGATTTAAACCGATGCTGCTCGGAACACAGAGAACAGTAAGGCAGCAAGGGGGCCTTAGAGACAACGAGCAGGGGTTCAGAGAAAGAAAATAAGGACAAGACTGAGAGCGGCAAAGGTAGAGAAGCAAGAAATAGCAATCCAGTCTGGGAGTAGCAAGGATAGAAAGCAGAGTAGCTAACAGAGCTTTGCAAAGGTCAGAATGGAGGGGACCAGAGAACCCAGGGAGGGGACCAAGCTGGAAGCAAAGAAGAGACACAGAAGCAGAGAGTACCTGAGACAGAGTTAACGAGAGGGCTCTGAGCCAGAAGCAAGAGGTGAGGAGAAGCTGAGTCTTCTGGGTCTTTTTTTTCCCCTGCTGAATAGAGCCTTGATTATAGTGTTACCCAATGTCTGATCAATTTCAGTCTATTTTCTTAACATTTCATGGTGAGAACCACATGAAAGCAAAAGGCACCCCAAAGCTAAGAACCTTGAGTCAAGTGTGGAAGAAAAATTCCTGCAATAGCTGCAATTAACACCCCAGTTTAGGTATAATATTATGGAGGATGATTAAAAATTTTTTTTTAACCATCAGGTTTATTTTAGTTCCCACTCCAATAAGCCTAATGTAAGTCCATTTTTTTTTTTTTTCAGTAACAGCTGTTCTTTTGAACCTTCTGAATAGGCATCTGATTTAGATTTGAAGGAAGTCATTTTAGGAGTCGGTGCAGACTCCCATAAGCACAACTTGAGTAAATCTAAGCCCGTGCACCACAGACTTTTTTAAAAAAGCAAGAATTCTGGCGGCCAGCAAGGAGTTAGAGTTAACTATTAAATCTAAATCCAGTGGACAGATTTTTCTCCTTCAGGCTGTAAATTCAGGCTTAAGTGGTTTTCAAGATCATCTCCTACTTTTGAATTTAATATAGAAAATGTATCTACAGCACAATTACTAAAGGGGAAAAGCTTCTTTCAATTTTCTTGGATCTCAGCTTCATTACAACTTTGTGGCCTCTGTTGGTAGAAACATTCTCCCATAATGAGCTTTACATAATTAAATTGGAAATGAAATAACAGTTGATGGGAGCAGCCCCTGCATGAACTGTCTGGCTTGTGACCCACTATCTGGATGACTAGTTTTCCTGCCTGCTCTGGGGCAAAGATTTAGGTAAATGCTATAAATAAGTCTAGCTTGACCAAGACTACATTTATGTCCCATGCAATTATTATAGAAAATTACAACAGTGAGAGGTATAAAAAGTCATTCGAGCTATTTGTTTCCCTACAGGAAAAAAAAAATGGGGCTTCAAGAAATTTACACATAGCATATTCTGAAGCACAAACTCAATAAAAATGGTCATTTAAATACTTACAATTCCATCTCTATCTGGTGAACCTCTGTAACAAAAAGAAATTGATAGCTATTATGAAAAGGAATCATTCCTGCCTCATAGACTAAAGTACAACAGTAAGAACCATTAACCACCACCCTCCCCTTCCCCAGCATTCCCGCCCCAGTAAACCTGGCTAATGAAAACTAAATCAAAACAAATTGATTGAGTGATATTTAAGTGTGGGATATGTGTATGTGGGAAGGAAATTCTCATTAAAAACTTGCAGCACAAGTGGGTAGGGTAGTGCATTGGTCCACTTTTGAGAGGAGAGTTCATTAAGGAGACTGTCCCAGCCTAGCTGGCTCCATTTAAAGCTATCACGAGGCAAGTAAACCCATTTACTCTCTCATCTGTGTATTTTTAAGAGATGGGGTATCGCTATGTTGCCCAGGCTGGCATGCAGTGGCTATTCACAGGCATAATCAAAAGCATACTACAGCCTTGAACTGCTGGGCTCCTGTGAACCTATGCCTCAGCCTCCCGAGAAGCTGGGATTGCAGGAGCCCAGCCCTTGTATCTTCTGTGAATGGTCCAGAATTGCCTCTTTGTGATAAAACTTCTGCAGTATTTTTTCAACTTTATTTTGAAAATTGTTACTTTCCCCCATATTTCCATGTTTACCTCTCCTTCCATTATAGAAGAGCAGGAAATGGAGAACAACATTTTGCTAAATGGCTCGCTCTGATGACTAAAGCCCAGGGCAGCTACTCTACGGTGGCACTATGCTACAGTGGTCAAGAGCAAGGGCTTTAGAGTAAGAGGAAGCTGGGTGTCCAAACAGTCCTGTGACCTTGAACACTTAAGCTCTCTAAGCCAGTTTAAACAAGATAATATATAGAAAGAACTTACAGTAGTTCCTAACACAGAGTATTAAAACTATGAGTTGATTATAATTTATTTTCTCTTCACTAGGAACACAAAACTGCCACTTGCAGCCGCACTGGACTTTAGAGCAGTGTAGGAGGGGTATTACAGGTATTTTAGGAAACTGGATGATAGGAGCAGAGGAAGAAACTAGAAGGTAATCACTGTAATTTTATAACTTTCCATTTTAATTCAGTTTTTAAGAGGCTAAAAAAATACAGGGATATGTATTACACTTGGAAAGGGACCTGCATTATTTGGAAGAAAACCTTAATAAGTGCTTGAGGTGGACTGTGATGTCTTGAGGAGTCTGGTGTTTGGTCGGAACTGTTCTTCAGAAGGTGTGACCAGGTAAGAAAATTATTGCTCATGGCAGAAAGTCAATCAAAGGAGAAAGAGAGAGAAAGCAATGCAGAGTTGGTGGGATGCCATCTGGACTCCAAGGTGTGATTCCTTCTCTACCAACACCCCTTCAAAATTAGCAGAATATTCTACTTGGATGATAATACACTTGACAGAGTGCATCATTTTTCACAAAGAGTGAGTTCTGTGTCCACACAGATGCAAAGGTAAATCAGTGATACAGAGGCAAGAAATAGAGAAGATCTTGATATTGAAAGACCATGGGAATTGACAGAAATGTTGGGACTTTTGAAGATTATCTGGAAATTAACCAGTTTGAAAAAATGGTCTTTAAAATAGAACGATAGGAAGAATCTTGGCTGACAAAAGTGCTTGTAATGAACTAAGTGCTTGGTTAGGACCAAGAGATAAAAATAATGAAGACACGTTCGTCGCAAAGAGAATAAAGTTGGCTGGTAAATCCAGTGGGTTATCATGGTTATAGTAAGCCCAGGGTAGAAGGAGGGCACTGAGGATAGGTACCAATCCATACTCATCAAAACCAATTCTCTTTTTATATCTGTATACTGAGTATGTCTTTCTCTTTTTTTCTGAGATGGAGTTTTGCTCTTGTCACCCAGGCTGGAATGTAATGGTGCAATCTTGCCTCACTGCAACCTCTGCCTCCCAGGTTCAAGTGATTCTTCTGCCTCAGTTTCCAAAGTAGCTGGGATTACAGGCATGAGCCACTATGCCTAGCTAATTCTGTATTTTTAGTAGAGAAGTGGTTTCACTATGTTAGCCAGGCTGGTCTTGAACTCCTGACCTCAGGTGATCCACCTACCTCAGCTTCCCAAAGTGCTGGGATTACAGGCATGAGCCACTGTGCCTGGCCAATATACTGAGTATTTCTTACTAGGACTTCAACTTACAAGGACTTCAACTTACTAGGACTTAATATCTATATATATGAGTATTTCTTACTAGGACTTCAACCTCTGCTAGCGGAGCTGAGAGAGAGGAGACTGCATTAACTTTTGGGTAGGATGTGTTCAGAGTCACTGATCCATGTGGGGATCCTTTGGGAACAACAAGAAATAGATGCGCCAGAAGCTCAGAGATTGGCCTGGCTGTGGTGGTGTCCACTGTGGATTCAGGTATAAGGTCTTATCAACAGGGGATCTTAAATGGGAGGCATCGATATCATGCTGATTGCAGCTGTTGGGGTGGTCTTAACAATTTTTAATCAGAGAAATTGTGATTGTATAGCAGCATTGGAGTCCTATTCTGATCCTTTGTCTTCTCTACTGATGGAAATGTGGCTCATGTGTCCTAAGGAATCAGTGAGCATGGTGGCTAAGGGTACTGGCTCCAGTGCCAGACTACCTGGGATCAACCAATATAGATCTCTTAGCTGCAGAAACTTGGGCAAGTTACTTCACTTCTTTGTTTCTCAGTTTCCTCATCTATAAAATAGCCATCATAACAGCATATATACCACACAGAGCTATTAGAGGATGCAATGAGCTGACGTAAATGAAGAACATGAAACAGTACCTAGAACATAGTAAATGCTTACTAAGTGTTTTCTAGAATAATAATTTTTATGCAATATGACCCAGGACAGGGAGTGAAGAGATTTTAGCAGCCTCAGACACTTGGGCATACATTCTAATTTCACTTCCTAACCCCCTCTAATGAGGTTTTATGTTGTATTTTAAAATGAATTTTTTCTTGGCAGACTTACTGTATTTGCTGATTTCTATTTTAAAAAGGATCCCTAAAATGCAATAAAACATACATTTAAAAAACTACTAATGAAGTATTAATATTTTAATTCCAAATATACATACAAAAAAAATCATCTACCATGGACTTTTGGCATCTATTTTAAAGTTTCAGTTACCTTTTGTAACTACTGTCTTTTTTTTTTAACCCTCCTGTCTGTCTGGATTTTAATTCTACCTATTGACATTTTTTCTTTTGGGTGATGAAAGCACAGACATTGGATTTTAGACTAGAATATGGGCTCCAAGTCTTAGTTTTTGGGTAGCCTTCAACATGTTACTTAACCCCTTTTGGCACTGATATCTCATCCTTAAAATTGATGTAATACTACTAACCTTATTGAATTACTGGGAAGACTAAAAATGTTACTAGTGCAACATATGTCCTACACAGGGCCTGCCACTTAGCACAATCTCTCTCCCTTCCTCTTTCTATCAGCTGCTGTAATGATGATTAAATCAGAAAACTCTGGTCCTAACCCCACTGTGTATCTAAGGAGGTTCAATCAGCTGAAGTTGGTGCGGTGTCTACGCTAGGAGGTTGCTTAGCAACCCATAGTGAGTCGTAACAGCGCTGTAAACAGTTTGCATCAACAAGGCTTCAGTGATCGCAGACAAACACGAGCATTTACTAAAGCTGAAGGGACAGCAAATTGCTAGAGCACTTTCCCAACCCCTTTGCATTTATCCTGATGTCTTTTCCAAGAATGATATGTGATCCAATTAGAGAGTTAATGAAAGCATTAGGGAGTTCATAAAAAGCAAAGGCTTATATTAAACATACTAAACAGCTTGTCCTTTGACCATCACTGATGGTGGAACCAGCTTACATCTGTTTTGCTACCACGTAAGTAATTTGGGACTCTCAAATGATAAAAAGTTAAGGAAGGACACTTGGGATTCTATAAACAAATGTCTCGTTAGAGTGCATCAGATAGCCGTGAGGAATCACTCAGTTATTTTCATAACTTGAGAAACAGTGATGGAAGAGCAGTGCTTTAGCCATTTGTAAATTAGTTCAGCCTGCCCCAGAGAGGTTGTTCAACCTCTTTTCTCTGTCAAGAGATTTTTTTCCTTTCTAACTTTCCTCACATACCAGAAATCTCTGGTGCAGTCAGTTACAGACATTGTCTTCATTCAGAAATGGATTTGGTTTCTGTTAACGATGTTCTCCTGAGATCCATCGAGTAGCATCCCCCACAACACCTAGCACATTGCAGGTGGTCACTATACGATCCTATAATGCCTTCCCTTATACGACTCGTATAGCGTCTGGCCCTTTAGAGAAATTAGATTCCATCTGTGCAAATTTCTTTGTTGTTGTTTACAGGGGTGGAAACTGAGGCCCAGCAAAGAAAAGGGTAATTCCCAAAGCCATGGAGTTCTGGCAGTGCTGGGACTACAGCCCAATCTCCTCAGCTAGTGATGGCACTATCGTATAGTCTGAGTGGCAAATGTTTAGAAAATGGCAAACTTCTTAAGAAACAATGTAAATTGTATAATCCTCAGAAAAATATTCATAACTTAATTATTGGGAAAAATTTGCAGGACAACAGTAATTTCCATGAAATCCCAGCAAATGTAATTTCCATGAAATAAATAGTTACAAAAGAAATTGCACAAAGAAAATATAAGAACTTAATATTTGGCATCTAGACAAAAATAACTTTGTTCCCCTAATCCTTTATACTCTTTGGCTTAAAAACTTTCAAGGTTTCAAGGTGGCCCACTGCCTATGGGAGTAGCCCATACACCTCAGCCTGCTACTTAAGGCCCTTCCTATCTGGAACTGGTCTCCTTTCTAGCCTTGCCTTCCATTGTCACCTTTACCTGTAACCCCCAAGTAGACAAACTGCCCATTTGTCTTGTCGGTATATGCCTAGTGGACTTTTCTACTTTTCTGCTTTTGCTTTTGTTGTTCCTTTTGCATGAAATATACATCCTCATCTTCTTGAAGGCCGAGCTCGAGTCTCCTCCCTCCCTGAAGTGTCACTTATCATCAGTCCAAATATGAGCTTTCTCACCCTCAGATTCCCATGAAATCCCATCTTAGTTGCTTGTAAGGAGCTTACCACGTATTAATTTGTATCAGTAATATGAAAAGTACCAGCACCTGCCATTTGCTGAGCATTTACTAAGTATTAGATACCATATTAGGCATTTCAAATATGTTACCACATTAGTTGTATAAATAATACTTTAATTTGTGTAGTAGATATTTCATCTCATGAATCATAAACTCTCAAAGGACAAGGGCCCAGGGAAATACTCGGCATCTTGTGATAAAATTTAGGCATGATAAAGATATACAGAATGAAAAGCTAAAGGTGAGAATGTGGCTTTCTTGATTTTCACCTGCACCCAAACAACTATTGCTTTTCCCATTTTCTAACTTTCTTTCAGAGATTCTAGCTAAATGAAGGGTATAATGGTCTCAATTCTGATGTACAACAAACTACACCAGATCTGCATATCTACCTGGTCACAACCACCTGTAGCTGGATAGTTGTGTTCTCCTTACACTGGTCTTGTGCTGGAGTCTTAAGTTCCTGGCCAGTGGACTTCACGTATTTAAGTTACCTGCTTGGCTCCAAAAGGCATCTGAGATTTTGTGTCAGAGCCAAATACTTCTGCAGGAGAATTCAAGATGGTCAAATAAGTGGAAGGAAGTTAAAGGGAAAAAAAACTGTTATGTCATTGGACATTTTCAGGGCCTATCAGTGTCTGTGGGCAATTAATTCCCTTGAACATGATCATTTAAACATGTAAAAGCACCCCCATAGTTTCTTCTGGCATTTGCTTCTTGTTCACTGCCAAATAGTCAATCATTCCTGAATTCTGCTGATTTACAATTCAGCTTGTACAAAATCTCGGCATCTCAGGTAAGACATTTGAGATGTTCTCTAGTATACATTTCTGTTTCTGGCTGGGTCTAATCTATCCAAACAGGTGTTTTGTTGTTTCTTTAGTTCAGATTATAGGGTCAACCCTATATGTGAAAACAAATTCTTTTTATCCTTCACAAAAGTAACAATCACATTTTCTGCCTCCTGAAACTGCTGGGAAGTATGATGATCCAAAGGGAAAAAAAAAGAAAGAAACATGATAAAAACACTGAACACTTGAAAAATTTTCACCATTTTAGCATAAATCTAAAAACTGTTTATATTGAATAATTACAATTTACTCAGAAATGGGGAAAGCAAATAGTACACAATATCCGAGAAAACTGTGCGACAATCTTATATTGACTGTGACAAAGCATCTCTTATGCAAATAGCTTCTTTGAGGTGGCAAACTCCTAAAGCACTCACGTAGAATCAGTGTCCTTTTCTTTCTTCCGTATTCCAAAGGCCTTCCTTGTACGTTTTTTCAATCCTGTGGGAAAACAGCAAAGGGTCAAAAACTCAGCAACATTCAAGTGAACATATTTTGAAAGTTGTAATACACCATTTAGACTTTAATGTTCAAAAAGCAATGATGTTTCTTAAGTTCTATGTATAGCTATGTGTGTTTGCATGTTCATAGGATTCATTATTACATTTTTCAATAGATATTTATCAAGGACTTCACACTATAAATTCTTAGCATATTAGCAACATAAGGATGCATGGGTACAGAAAATATTGCAAGTTTTTCTTAGACTACTGTTATTCATCACCCAAACTGGGGTTCTGCCAAGAAGCCAAATCGCAGATTTAGAAGAATAGCCATTTTCAGGTTAGATATATTCTTTGGACTGAGGTAATGCCAAGATACAGATCATGTGACCCATATCAAGAGAATTGTACAGATATGACACATCTTTGTGTCCCTTAGTCCCATCTTATCTTTTACTACTTCCTCCAGTCTGTGTCTGCATTGAATTATTAACCATACTCTGAACACACCCCGACATTTGCACTTCAGTATCTCTTTCTCTCTTGTGTGGTCCTTTCTTGTGGTTGAAATGCTTTCCCTATTTTGTGGACATTTAGAATTTCAACTCATCCCTTAAGGCCCAGGCTAAATGCCGCTCCTTCTGTAAGGCCTCTCAAACCTAGAGGCATAAGACACTGACTATTCTGTGCTCCCCTCAAAATGTTGCTCTTATATGTATTATGATATATCACCTATATAGGTACCACCTATTCGTTCCTATGTCAATTGCCCTAGTAGGCTGAGATCCTTTCTTGAACAAAGGCCAAGGCTCCCTCATTAATAAGTCTAGATAATATTTGTGATTTAAAATATCTTCCAGGAAGCACCATTCAAACAGCACTGACTAAGAAAGCCCTTTTCTTCCATCCTGACAAGCCAAGCACAGTCTTGCTTCTTCTGTACTTATCCTGTCAAGGCTGTTTGGGTTTCCCATCCCCCACATGTTCCATAGTTACAGACATGGCTTGTGCTTCTGTTTTATTATTCAAATATACTAAATGCTTATATATTCAAACTTTAGACTTGTTATTGGTGGTTTGGAAAGTCTTCTTGAGAAAATGGATCTGAGAGTCACTGGTATTTCAGATTTGTTTGGCACTACCAGGTGGAACAAAGGGAAAAACAACGACAGAATCAGTGAGTTGATGATACGTTCTTCCAAAACATGTGAGTCAGCCCAAACCTCTCAGATTATCTGAGTCATTCATTATCTGCCTCTTAGGATACTACTGAAATACAGTCTTCAAAATGTCTTCTTTCTGTCTAATTTTGCGTTTTAATAGTCACCCATTTAAGACATTTCTTTAAAATGTCAATTTTTAAAAAAACTCCTCCCACATAAAACTACCCACCCATAATATTTAGAAACACCTTCTCACCTTTCATTTTTAATTTTGTTTATTAAAAACTTCTTTCTCACCTCTAATTGTCTTATTCTGTTGTAAGGACAAAGTATCATAGTTATATAATCATCAGTCTCTCCCTACAATTTTCTGTGGGTTTCAAGTCTCCTAATTGACTTCTTTTTGCTTCTCATTTAGCTTTGAGTTCACAATGAATGCCATACTCAGCAACCACTACTGGTTTTTACAGGACTATAAAACCAATGCTATCATCATCTTATGTTTTCAAGTGCTTTATTTCCTGTAACTTGACCTATGAGATAAGAGATAGCATGCCTTACCAAATATATCAGAAAATACCCACACATTCCAATACTCTTTTTATTAAATTGGTAACAGAATAGGCAATAGTAGTTTTCCATAGACCCTGTCCTGGTTTTGACCACCAAGTTTGGACAACAGCCAACATGAACTAGGTCATGAACATCATGAGTTGTCCACTTTCCAGTGAAAAATGCACTGAATCAGGAGCCAGGAGGCAGAGTCCATTCCTAGCATCAGTTCTAATCGTGTAGCTTAATACAAGCCACATTCTCTTTATGTTTCAACCTCTCAGGCTGTAACAGATCAGCCAATGATAAGAGATGAAATAATTTGCACACTTTCACAAAAAGCCATGCCAATATCTGTAGTATCACTGTGGTATCTTTTCTTTCACTGGAAATCGTGTTTTGAACACATCAAATACACTTATACATGGAATATGAATAGGAATACACCAAACGTGAAATTCTAGAAAAAAATCCCCTAATCAAATTGTTGAATAAGAAAAAAAATGTTGGGCTGGGCTCAGTGGCTCATGCTTGTAATCCCAGCACTTTGGGAGGCTGAGGTGGGTGGATCACTTGAGGTCAGGAGTTCAAGACCAGCCTGGCCAATATGGTGAAAATCTGTCTGTACTAAAAATACAAAAATTTAGCCAGGCATGGTAGCGCATGCCTGTAGTCCCTGCTATTTGGGAGGTTGGGGTGGAAGAATCACTTGAACCCAGCAGGCAGAAGTTGTAGTGAGCCAAGATGGTGCCATTGCACTCCAGCTTGGGTGACAGGGTAAGACTTCATCTCAAAAAAAAAAAATGTTAAGAACATTTTACTTCTTCGAAAGTGAAAATGTTTAAGATGTTTACAAAAAATATGAAGAAAACTGAAAGACTAAAGCAAATGAATTTATGAAAGTAAGTTATTCATATCTTAATGAATCTTTCAGATGATCCAAGGAGAAAGCAATCACACCAACTGTGTTAAAAGTGAGTAAAGACAGGTGTGCTCATGTCTTTTGAGAATTTATCAAAAAATATTGAAACTCTTCAATAGAGAGCAACAATAGTCAAGGATCTTATAGGAATAACAAATTTAAGACACTTACGGCTCGGGAGAGCCAGAGGCATAGTTGTCCCAAAGAGGAAATGCCTAAAGCAAAACTCAAGGCTCCCGTCTGGATTGTCTATTTGAGTGGAGACAGAGATTCTGGGAGGACAGAGATGAAGGCTGCAGATCTGACCGAAGCATCCCTGCTTTGTAACCATGGGAACTGGGGCACAATCAGGGTGTGGAGGGCAGGGAGTGGTATAAGAAGGTGAAGATGCCCCAAGGGCACTTACATAAGGAAGATCACCAATCTGCCTCTAAGAAATCTACAGAATAACACTGTCAGATTATGAATATCTTTGCTGGGTACTCATGACAGTTGAAAGCTGAATCGACATTAGAGTATTTATAACCTAATTATGATTAATGGAAAGAAGCTGTTCTGTGGGCTGAGTCATGCCATGTAGTCTAATAAAGTATCAGTATGCTTAAAAAAAAAAAAAACAAATTTAAGACACTATGTTCAACAATCTATACAGTTTAAAAACACGGTATCCAGTGATTTTCCACTTCAGGTAGTTATGATTATAGTATAATTTCATCTGGAGTGGAGGATAAATCTTTCATCAACTATTTTTTACCAAAAATGGGAGAGCAAAAACGAAGTGTCCTTTAAGAAATGTGGTGACTCTTCTCTTGCCAATATCAAAACAAAGACATCTAAAGGGAAATAATTTTACTGTCTTGACAATCTGGAGTTAGAATGGTTCCCTCCCAAGCTATGGAATTGAGAACACTTTCCTGTGTGGATCTAAAACTGCCATCACACATAATCATCAGATTCACCAGGGTTGAAATGAAGAAAAAAAATGCTAAGGGCAGCCAGAGGGAAAGGTTGGTTACCCACAAAGGAAAGCCCATCAGACTCACAGCAGATCTCTCGGCAGAAACCCTACAACCCAGAAGAGAGTGGTGGCCAATATTCAACATCCTGAAATAAAAGAATTTTCAACTTGGAATTTCATATCCAGCCAAAGTAAGCTTGATAAGCAAAGGAGAAGTAAAATCCTTTATGGATAAGTAACTGCTAAGAGATTTCATTACCACCAGGCCTGCCCTACAAGAGCCCCTAAAGGAAGCACTGAACATGGAAATGAACAACCAGTAGCTGTCACTGCAAAAACCTACCAAACTGTAAAGACCATCGACACCATGAAGAAACTGCATCAACTAATGGGCAAAACAACCAGCTAGCACCAAAATGGCAGGATCAAATTCACATATAACAATATTAATCTTAAATGTAAATGGGTTAAATACTCCCAATCAAAAGACACAGGCTGGCAGATTGGATAAAAAGTCAAGCTCCATCGATGTGCTGTATTCAGAAAACCCATTTCACATGCAAAGACACACATAGGCTCAAAATAAAGGGATCGAGGAAGATTTACCAAGCAAATGGAGAACCAAACAAAAAAAGCAGGGGTTGCTTTTTGTATCCTAGTCTCTGATAAAACAGACTTTAAACCAACAAAGATCAAAAGAGACAAAGAAGGGCATTACATAATGGTAAAGGAATTAATGCAACAAAAAGAGCTAACTATCCTAAGTATATATGCACCCAATACAGGAGCACCCAGATATGTAAAGCAATTTCTTAATGACCTACAAAGAGACTTAGACTCCGACACAATAATAGTGGGAGACTTCAACATCACACTGTCAATACTAGACAGATCAACGAGACAGAACATTAACAAGGATATCCAGGACTTGAACTCAGATCTGGACCAAGTGGACCTAATAGACATCTACAGAGCTCTCCACCCCAAATCCACAGAATATCATTCTTCTCAGAACCATGTCGCACTTATTCTAAAATTGACCACATAATTGGAAGTAAAACACTCCTCAGCAAATGCAAAAGAACAGAAATCATAACAACCAGTCTCTCAGAACACAGCGCAATCAAATTAGAACTCAGGATTAAGAAATTCACTCAAAACCATAGAACTACATGGAAGCTAAACAACCTGCTCCTGAATGACTACTGGATAAATAATAAAATGAATGCAGAAATAAAGATCTTCAAAACCTATAAGAATGAAGACACAACATACCAGAATTTCTGGGACACATTTAAAGCAGTGTCTAGAGGGAAACTTATAGCACTAAATGCCCACAAGAGACGTAAGGAAAGATATAAAACTGACACCCTAATGTCACAATTAAAAGAAGTAGAGGAGGA